CATGGCTGTCCTTTTACTCTCATTGTCATGGCAACACAGGGTGTTGGTGGCCACCGTATCTCTTACCCACAAAAATCAGAGAGTAACTGGCACCTTTAAGTACAGAGTCCAGTTGGCCCAGAAATCATCCAAGAAAAGCAATCTGCCCTCCAGCCACTCAGGATACCAGCAGTGAGCAGGGCACATTTTCAGGCCCAGTGATCTCCTTCCTATCATCTCTAATGTCACTGAGAGCCACCAAAATCCTTCTCTGCCTCACAAAATCCTAGGATACTGAGGAAGGAATGGCCACAGAAGGTGGTCTTAAATTTTCCTTTCCTACAGTAGCACTAAGATGCTTGGACGGTGGCCCAACCTCAGCCTGCTGTTGGTCCAGGCCAGGAACTGTGGAGAGGGAGAGTGAAAGCCAGCAGGTACTTGGGAGGCACGGCTTCTGTTCTGTAGGATAACCTGAGACCAGAAATGCCTGGATGGAAAAGCACCTGTATCCAGGCTCCAGTATTGACCATCTATTACATTTTATATATTATTGGTGGTATTTTAATCAGCAGATAGAATAATATTACATGCCAGTACAATATATTATTATTTATATTAACATTATAAAATAATATTATATGCTAGACATTGTTCTAAGTAAGTTACTGTGTAAATTAATCCACACAATCACCCTTATAAGATGGGAACTATTCACGTACCACATTCGGTTGCACAGTACAGTACCCATTAGTTTGCAGTTTGTGTTGCTTTGGCTATAGTAATGTTCTTCTTCTTTTTTTTTTTTTTGGAGGAACCAGGGATTGAACTCAGGCCCTTGTACTTGCCAGGGAAGTGTTTATTCCACTGAGCCATCTCCCCGGCCCCTATAGTAATTTTCTAAATGTTCCAAAACTTCAGCTAAGGCTGGGGAGATGGCTCAGCGGCTTAAGTGCCCACCTGCCTGGCATGTACAAGGATGTGAGTTCGATTTCCAGTACAAAAACCAAACACTTTAGCTGGAACTTAATTCTGGACCTCAGAGTGGCTTAGGAAAGAGTTTAAATTTTTCAGATGTTTTGAGTTTTTGTTTGTTTTATAGGTTAGAATTATCTAACCTTTGTTTTATAGTTCTTTTTGTTTTGTTTTGTTTTGTTTTGTTTTGTTTTGTTTTTTGCGGAACTGGGGATTGAACTCAGGCCTCTGCACTTGCCAGGCATGCGCATATTCCACTGAATTCAAGGAAAAGCAGCCCAGCTGATTTAAGTATAGGAGAATAGACTCTAAGGATGTAAGGGGCTTACAGACACCCAACAGCAATGAAACAAGTAATGCTATCAAAAGGGCAAAAAAATGAGCAATACGAAGGTCATTAACAGTGTCTCTCCTGTAATCTCTATTTTCCTCTATGTATCAATTTCATTTCTTTTTAAACCCATTTATTTTTTGTCTTCAATTCGCATGACATGGCACGATCCCTGAAAATTCCCAACTCTATACATTACAGGTCCAACCACCTAGAATAGAGCGTTCCGTTCTCTCCAGCTCAATTCCAATTCCCAAGCAAGGAACTCTGGCCCGTTGGAGTCAGGCGCCCAATCCTACATCAACCAGCTAAGACCAGGGAGGGGAGGTCACCTAAGAGAGGTGAATGTAAAGGGACAGCAGGTAGGAGTTAATTATTGTCACCAAACACAGTAAGTTATCCATTGCTTTTTGGTTTCTCAGATACTAAATATTGCATGGTGGAAAGAAATGTAGTCTAACTTGTCTCCACTTTTAGCATTTAGAAGGAGTTCGTCAAATACGATTTTTGTTCTCACTTTTTGATAGGTAAGTGGCCCCCAGTGATCAATTCTGCCTGCCAGCCCCACCCCCACGCCCCACTAGCCCCGCCCCACTAGCCCCGCCCCCACACCCACACTAGCCCCGCCTCCCACAACGCCCACAGCCCATGAAGTTACCAAATGACTCCACAGGTGGGTACAGCGCCCCGGGATCCAGCCACTGCCACAGGCCCCACTTGTGAGCGCACAAGGCCTTTGCGGACACTCTTGATCTAAGCCATAATGCATGCAAAGGCAGCTGCTGTCCGAGCTGTCACTGTGAGAGGTGACATTCATTTTCTCTGGGTGTACATATTTCCCACACCTAGGGTGTAAGGTCCACTACTGGGATTCTTTTTTTTCTTCCCCTGCCTTGTTCACACCTGAATCTTAAGCACCTGAATCATGGCTGGCCCAGAGCAGGCAGTCAACAATGTCTGCTGAATGAATGAATGAATGAATGAATGAATGAATGAATGAATGAATTAGTGCAGCTCAGCCCTCTTATATTATCATCCCATCTCTTTTGGCAACAAGTTATCTGCCTATTTCTCTTCCCTTTGATGCAAGGAAAACCCACTTCAGCCCCCCATTGCCCAGGTTCCTACCTCTGCTACCCCCTCAGATTATCCAAGGCTTCACAGAGGGAGGACACTATTTCTAGACAAATAATGAAAGTACAGAGTTAAAGGCTATTTGAGCTTCCTTGGTTTCACTCTAGGATTTTCTAGTCCCTGAAACACCCATGTTACTAGTGGGTGTCTTTTGCTGGTGGTAAGACTACAAATAATTTCAAATTCTAAGCCTCCGTCTTCTAGGTTTGTAAAATGGGGGTAACCAGACCTATACCCTGGGCTTAATCCAAGGACATTAGATAATATATTAGAGCAGTTGACCCAGGACCTAACACTTGTATCAGCTTCCTGCTGTATCATGTATTTAGTGGCTTAAAACAACAGAAAGTCATTTTTTCATGGCTCTAGAGACCAGAAGTCTGAAATGCATGTAGCAGAACAGTGCAGAGACGCTAGGGTTGCAGCCAGCCTCAGTGGACCACTAGCCCCTGGGTTGTAGGAGGATACACATACTTAGGCTCAGGCCCACCCAGGTGATCCAGGAGAATGTCCCTATCTTAAGATCTTTAATGACAGCTATCAAGAAGCTTTTTCTTTGTGTGGTGACATCTATAGGCTCTATGGAGTAGACTCATGGCCTGGGGGCTATTATTCAACCTCTACAGAGTGAAGGCTGCCCTTTAACTATTCCTTCAACATTCGCTGGGTACCTGCTCTGTGCCAGGCACTGAACGGGTCCCTGAGCACACAAGGCTGATGCATGTCCTTCTCCAGCCTATGCCCAGCAAGAGATGTGGCCCAGCAAGCAAGGCAATTAGCCCCTGACACTTCAGCCAGTCAGTTACTAGCAAGGGTTTGCCTGCAAAAGCCCACAGCAGGGGGGCCTGGCCATAGCTCAGTTCTTTAAGTGGCTGCTTCCACAAAGCTGTCAGCCTCAGGTTGCTGTAGTTCGATCCCCACAACACTCCAGCCAGCCAAACCACCCCTGAGGGCATTCGGAGCAAAAAAAAAAAAAAGCCCACAGCAGATGCACTTTGATGTGTCAGGAAGACCAGCATCCTTGGGACTGGGAGAAGTCAGCGGAAACCTCAGTAATAACTGCAATCTACTCAGCACTTAGGCCTTAGGTACTGGGTCAACTTCCCTAATACATTATCTAATGTAGTCCTTGGAGTAAGCCCAGGGTATAGGTCTGGTTACCCCCATTTTACAGACTGAGAAGACAGGCTCAGAACTTGAAATTATTTGTCTGCAGCCTACCACTAGCAAATGACTGCTGACACTTGAGCCAGACCTATGGAACTCCAGCATTCTTCATCAGCCACAGCCCAACCTAAGCTGTCTGATGACACAGGGTACCAGTTAGATTGTGAGCACCAAAATGGGGGGGCGGTGTTGGGCCACGGGTGAGCTTCAGTCCAGTCTGGGATTGCTCTGCTTCTGGTCTGTGAATTGTTGGGGAAGTTACCTCACCTCTCTAGCCTCAGTTTCCCCATCTGTAACATGTGAGGAATGGGCCCAAATGACCTCAGAGTCCCCATCTAACTATTTCATGTCCTTTGCTTCTAGAATGGAGGGCTGAAAAACCTCTACCATGCTCAGGCTTTTGCCCAGAAGGGCCTTACATCAGACACCAGAAGCTGGAAACTTGTATATAGAAATAATGGCACACAGGTGACAGGCAGATGGCTTCTCTGCATGGCTGTCCACAGGGTCGGGGTCTCCTGGGAAGGGAGGCTCTAAGACGCTCTGGGACAGACAGAGACCCGGACCCTGTATGAATCCTACCAATTGTAGGGTGCAGACCGTGGCTGTGGCCTACGGAAAGTCACAGCCCACTGCAGCAATGTCGGACTGCTCTATCTACCAGAGACCCACCTGCAGGTGTACGCGCTGCTGCCCGCTGCCAAGCCTTCTGTGGTCACTGTGTTCAGAGTCCCTGCTGCAGAAGGCGAGCTCTCTGAATGGACCTGTTCCAGGAACTCATAAGCCTTGAGTGCTGAGGAAAGAATCGAGAACATGAAGTCACTTTATTTTCAAATGACCTCATGATTCAAAAGATGCTGTCTTTCTTTGTTTAGAAGGACAAGGGGGGCATTTAAAGCATGTGCACATCATTCTAAACCAGAGATTTTTATTTCCTTTCTATCTGTCTGCTATATATTGATCTCACCTCTATTTCCACATCCTTGTGATCTAGAAAATCATCCTGAAGCGTAGGGCCTGGGAACAGTACGGTCCTGCCAAAAGCAAGAAGTCCTTTCTTCCCTGGGACGGCTTTCCTCCCCCGCATGGCTTTCCTTGCATTCCACCAAGTCTTGCGTGGTCTCGCCCCTTGTCTGAGTCTGTTTCACAGCCCCCACACACTGTGGTAGATGAGCAGGACCCCAAGCTGCCAGGAGTGATCAAAGTCCCTGGGCTAGCCCCACCTGGGGGTCCCCACCCTCTCTTGCAGGACCACATTTGGGATACCATAAGACTCAGTTCTGAAAAAATTTTCAGTCTTCCTCTTGGATCATTTTAATCCTTGGAAGTCACTAATGCCTATCAAAATCTAATAAAGCTATACATCCACTCATTTAAAAAATCTGCAAAGTACACAGGAACAACACCTGGCAACTCGACCCTTTGGTTCATGAGCGTGGTGACTCGGTGCTCGTGTCTTGCGCATGAGATGTGCCTCCTTGAAGCCCTGTCACGACACGCGCACATTACCCGTCTGACGTGAAAAAAAACAAGCAAACAAAGACCCAGGCAACCCATTTCAAGGGATTCCTTGCCTCCCTGAAGCTTACCTGGGAACGTTCTAGAGCTTCCTAGGCAGCAAGCACAGGCTGCCGCAGCTGTGGAGCCCTCACACGTGGCTGGCTGTCACGCAGAACTGCTGTAAGTCTAATATATGCACCGGATTTTAAAGACACAGCAAAAATGAATTAAAAATATTTCAATATTTTTATACAATTATAAGCTGAAATTATAATATTTTGCTATGTTGGTTTGAATAAAGCATCTCATTGAAATTAATTTCACCTATTTTATAAGCTTTATGTGACCCTAGGTTTCCAAATTATATACACCTGTTTTCAGTACTAGTCCTTTTCCTGGTGCAGGCAGGGGGTCATACTAAGCCAGGATCTGCTGTGTCATATCCCCTTCCTTCCTTTCCCAACAGCCCCTATCTGTCCTGTCCCCAGTGTGGCCTTCCCAAGGAAGAAGAGCCCTGCCAGGTACTAGAAGGGTGTGGCAGTCCATGGGCAGAGGCAGCGTTCCCAGACCTTGGCAGCCTGCCAGCCGCACGTGGCAATCCCGAGGCCCAGGTCCTGGCATTTGCAACCCTAGAGGATGTGGCCTGGCTGTCCATGCACAGGGACACTACCCACCATCTCATGGGCAGAGAAGTGGATTTAGGCGAGACAAGGGACATTTTCAGGGTCTGGCTTAGCTCAGAACCTGGTTCCCTGAACACAGGCAGCACAAAGGTCCTGGCAAGGAAGCCAGCGATCCAGGAGAAAGCAGGACTCTTGCTGGAGTCCAGTGCCCTCTCCCTACCTCCTGCTTATGCCTCCTCAGAAGACGGGGACTTCACTCACCTTATGGGGAACCACAAGGGGAGAAAACACAAGAAGCAGAATTCAGAAGGCGAGATTGACTCTAGTGTGGCCATTGCCTCGCTCAGTCCCCATCACTGCCACCACTGTGGGAGATGCAGGTCTCTGCGGGGTTTAAGTTCTCTCACTTTTGGAGGCCTCCTTCCTCTGTTCATTGAACATATGCAAATGTTGTATGTCCTATATGATTCATAATGCTATGACTTATAGTTAACTAAAACATTATTAATTTAGTTTTGCTTTTTTTCATAAGTCTCAAGCATTTTCATAAAAACTTGCAAAACTCTAAAGTGAGAGACAGGGCCACAGCCCCACTTGGCATTTGCCTCTGGCCCATTCTGTCTAGTTCATTAGCGTTCATGCCCACCAAAGTATTTAGAGTACTAACTGTGCTAGAAGAGAGGATGACCCCCCCTCCCAGGTACTTGGCTCCTTGTCTTGGTTAAGCAAAAGGCTTAACAAGCTCCATTTAATTTTTTTCAGTACAGAACCCATGACCTCTGCACTGCTCTATCTCCAGATCATTGTTTCTTTGTGTGTTTGATTTTTGAGACAGGTACTAAGTTGCCTGGGCTGGGCTCTGACTTACAACCCTCCTGCCTCAGCTTTCCAGAGTGCTGGGATTACAGGTATGTGCCATCACATCTGGCTTCTATTTGATCTTTTCCAGAAAGAAATAACAAGTCATAAAGTGTCCCAAGCAGTAACAGCCACAGATTCCAGACCTCTAGATCCCTTCCTGTGTCAGGAGCAGGATCCAACAGCTACTGATCACACTAACAATGATGGCTGCAGTTTCACACACACTCTTGGCTATAAGGGATGAGGTTATGATTGTGTAGTACTGTCGCCTACTCGGTCCACCCCCCAGAAACCAGAGTCCTAGTATAAACATCTGGGCCCCTAGTCAGCTGCAAGGAAGACTACATCTGTTGGCCCTCAAGCAGGTATACAAATCTAGCTCATCTGCCACATGGGTCTGTGGAGGGACAGTGTGCCCTGAGAGGACAAAGCCATGGGCCCCCAGCCTGTGACAAGATCTCCCTGCCTGTGCAAACTGCCAGTACCACAGACCCCTTGAAGGCCAAGGAAAGTCTGGACTCTGGAGTCTGATTCCTGAGTATGAACCTGGGACCCATCACTTTTTAACTCTGAGACTTGGAGAAGTTTACTTCCATTTCCTTATCTAGAAAATGAGGAGACTCTTTCCACCTCAAAAGGGTATTATGTGCTTTTAGGGGACACTGATTGTAGAGTACCAGCTCTACAAACCACTCTGTCTTGTGCTCCTTTGAACACCTTCAGTGCAGCCCAGGAATGGAGGCTCACAGCCCTGGTGGAGAACCTGACGCGGGTGGGGGTGGGGCAGCGTTCAGCCTTCTGCAGTCTGCACAACTCAAGCTACTCACCTCTCAGAGCCTTTTCATCTACAAAAGCGAAGTAAAATCCCTCATACCATTAAGGGTAATTGGCAGGATTAAACAAACATGAAAGCGCTCAAAACAGCGCCACACACAAAGGAAACTCTCATTATTTACTGACTGTCGTTATTTTTATAGTAGATAATAAATATTACATGACTCTAAAATAGACCCACAGGTAGACTGGGAAAGAGAAGGAAACTCATTCATTAGAGGTAGGGGGCCTCCTCTGGAAGGAAGTTCCCAGCATACTTCCATTTCTGCAAACTCCACACTTTCTTGGTAGAAAACTCTCAGGAGTGTGAGGGCCAGAATGCCGCCTGGTGTCCTCAGATGGACACTTGTCACCGAATTGCAGGGTTGGGTTTCTCCTCTTCACGTCCCTATAAAGAATTCACAAAGTGATGTGTTATTTCATCCCTGTGTTTTTCAGAAATGGTATCCAAACAAGAAACAGTCCTCTCTTCCTTTCACAATTCTTCTCCACCAAGCTTCCAACACCCCCATGCTGAACAAAAAGAAGCCCTCCCACAAAGGAAAATTAAGGAGGGTCCCTGAAGGAGCGTGACCTGCTGGGGATGCGCAGCCTGACCAGGATAGCTCGTGTCCCAACCAGGCATTGAGGTTTGTAACCTGCCCCCCTGAAGTGTGACTCATGGGTCAGCAGCTGCAGCGTTACCAAGAGCACAATAAAAATGCAGATCTCAGTGCCCACCCTAGACTACTGGACCACAACCCACAACTGAACAAGATTTTCAAGCAATATATATATATATATTTTTTTTTTCTTTTTCTTTTTTTTCTTTTTTTGGCAGAACTGGGGATTGAGCTCAGACCCTTGCGCTTGCCAGGGAAGCACTTATTCTACTGAGCCATCTCTCCGGGCCACCCCCCCCCATAATACTTTTAACATTAAAGTTTTGACAAGCACTGCAATGGCAAGATTGAGGTCTGGGGAATTGAGTTTTCATCTTGGTTCACTCACTAACTGGCTATGTCACCTCAGAAAACTGACTTACCATTTCTGAGCCCCTGTGTCTTCACCTAAACGACAAGAACAATTATAGCACTCTCCCTCCCCTGACATGTTGGGGGGACTGTTGAAACGTGTGTGGAAGTGTTTTGTAATGTATTTGGAAGTAGATAAGTGCAAGATTTTTATTTCTTTCTATCATATTCATTTTTTTCTTTTCTTTCTTTTTTGTTTTGTATTTTTAGGACAGGGCCTACAGGGTCACACTATGTAGATCGGACTTGTAGTGACTTGTTTTCAGTCTTCTAAGCGCTAGGATTATACCCAGTCTCAATCACAGTCTCGGTGTGCTCCAGGGGTGGGCCCAGCATAGCACGTCAGGGATCAAATCCCGGCCACTGTGCTGTGCCTAAGATGACACTTTAGTCTGCTGAGCTATCTGGCCAGCCCTTCATATTCATTTTTTTCAAGTAGGTGCAGTGGTCTACAGGCCAAAAGCACTATGTTTGTTTAATCTGAAAGGAGGAGAGCCCACCCCATGTAAGGCCAGTCACTCTGAAAACATGCCAGATACGACCCCTGTTCCTGTTTGCACAGAGGCCTTGTCACACTCCCCAGGACTCTGACATGGATCACGAATAGGTGATTTCAATGTTTACGCAGAATTTCTGGCAGACCTGTCAGTCCTCACTGACTGGGCATCATGAGGACCCCTTTGCACAAAGAACACGAGTGTTAGAAATCCACAGATCTGGCTTTGTCTTAGCTCTGCCACTTTCTAGCTGTGATCATGAACAAGTAAGACGGGCATTCTGAGCCTGTTTCTTCACCTGTACAGTGAAGATGAAAGCACAAACTCTGCCAGACTCTCCTACGGGTGCTACAAGAAGTGTGGAAAGCATCTAATACAATGTATGGCTCTGTATTAGATGCCAGGCACTCTATTAAAGAAGAGGTCAATATCATAGTTAATAGGAATTATTAGGGGCCAGGGAGATAGCTCAGTAGAATAAGCGCTTGCATGGCAAGCGTAAGGTCCTGAGTTCAATCCCTGGTACTAAAAAAAAAAAAAAAAAAAATTACCATAGTGTTCATCGCAGATGTCCAGTTTTCCAAAGACCATGATGAACTTGTTCTAGGCAAGTATTTTGGGTGTGGAAACTTATGAGAAGTCACTGACTCACATATGCAAGCACTATTCAATGCCATACATGAGCAAAGCTTACAAATGTATGTCCATGCTGCATGTAGGTACATGATTTCATTTGAGTCTCCTGTAAGAAAAAGCATGGACAGCTCCCAGAGGGAATAGTTTTAATCTCAAGAACTCCTTTCTGCTCTCAAATATTAGAATGCATCAAAAAGTAACCCAGACAGGGCCAGCTGCCTTACCAAATCAGAAAAGACTGGCTTCTCGATGAAAGAGAAAGCCAGGATTCTGCAGAAAGGGATTGAAGGAAGAGGGCAGAGCAGAGGCCTGCTCCACAGGGTGTCAGAGGACAGAGCACAGAACGTTGGTCTTTCCCCAAACCATGGCATCGTTTAATTTTATATTCTTTGAGCAACTTGAACCTACCATAAGTTGGAATAATGCTTAGTGACAGCAAGTCTTAAATTTTAGTACACACCACTCAGAGAGCCTGCTAAAAACAGATTACTGAACGTTAGAGCCAGGTCTTGGATTCTGTACATTTAGCATATGTTTCTGATGCAGATGGAAGAA